TAAAACACAAATCACAGGCATACATCACCTTTGTCACCTTTGAAAAAATGGTCAAAACACAATTCAATTCTCATGTTAAACTTTTTCGAAGTGACAATGGAAAGGAATACGTAAATAACATCTTTGGCTAGTTTTTGCAATCCCTGGGAATCATACATCAAACCTCCTGTCCATACACTCCCGAACAGAATAGGGTGGCTGAGCGTAAGCATCACCATCTCTTTGAAATGGTGGTTACTCTTCTACATCAATCTCATCTCCCTGTCTCCTTTTGGGTAGAAGCTCTAGCCACCGCAAACTACCTCATTAACAGAATGGCCAGTCTCACCCTCTCCAACAAATCACCCTATCAACTCCTTTACCAAGAACTTCCCAATTATACCAACCTTCGCGTCTTTGGGTGTCTTGCCTACCCTTGGCTACGCCCTCATATTACTCACAAATTACAACCCCGATCCCGTCCTTGTATTTTTTTGGGCTATCATCCTACCTCCAAGGGTTATCGCTGTCTTGACCCACAAACTCATAAAGTCTACATATCTCGTCATGTCAAATTTGTCAAAAATGAGTTTCCCTACGAGTCTATTTCCTCCTCCACAAATACATCATTCATTGGCATCCTTCCCCTTTTTTCAACATACTCACAGGGTCCCTCACCACCTTCCCCCACACCTCCACCCACTACCCAACCACCCCTCATCACCCCTTCGACTGTCACCCACAATACATCCGCAACCATCACCCACACTCACAACCAACCCGAACCACCCCATACCCACAACATCTCCAGCCCGATCCGTTTTGGGTCCTTCCCGGCCACCCCCGAATCACCACCGCTCGTGCCACCCCCCAATACTCATCCCATGTTAACCCGTGGCAAACCTGGTATCTTTAAACCCAAAACCTTTCAGGCTACCATACTACCAAATACACCCCTTCCCGATAGTGAACCAACAACCTACTCTGTTGCCTCATAAAATGCTTATTGGCGTCATGCTATGGATGACGAGTTTAAGGCTTTGACTGATCAGAAAACTTGGGTTCTTGTACCTAAGCCCCATGGGCGGCACCCAGTGGGCTGTACATGGGTGTACAAAATTAAACACAATGCAGATGTCAGTATTTCCAGGTACAAGGCTCGTTTGGTTGCTAAAGGCTGCAATCAGGAGTATGGGCTTAATTACTCCGAGACATTCAGTCCTGTTATTCGGCAGGAAACCATTCGCCTGGTACTGTCACTCGCCGTGCACAACAATTGGCTCATCAATCAGTTGGATGTTTTCAATGCTTTTCTTCATGGCATGCTTGATGAAACTATCTACATGACGCAACCACCAGGCTATGTTGATCCCGCTTCCCTCAACATGTTTGCGAAATCCAGAAGTCTCTTTATGGACTCAAGCAAGCCCCCCCGTGCTTGGTACACACGTCTGAAAATGTTCCTCCAGGGACTCGGCTTCACGTGTTGCGTACACAACACGAGTCTGTTTACTCGACATTCAGCACACGGTACGGGCATTTTTCTTGTCTATGTAGATGATATCATTATTACAGGCTCTACTGCAGCTCTCATTCAGGATGTCACTCGAGCTATGCATACTACCTTTAAAATGAAGGACCTTGGTCCGTTACATTATTTTCTGGGAATGGAGGTTTCTCGGACAGGCAGTGTCTTGTTTCTTAATCAGTCAAAATATGCTCGAGATCTGTTGCAGAAAGCTGGACTGGAAAAATGCACCAGTCAACCAACACCGTCTTCGTCTACGAATGGAGCCGACACCCCCTTTGCCGATATAACCCACTTCCGCAGCCTCATTGGGACTCTATAGTATCTAGCCATTACTCGTCCTGACATCCAGTTTGCTGTC